GGAGGTGGGTGGTTGGCCAGCGGCTCCGCGGACGGCCTTCTCCACATTTGGGACCATGACGTCACAGGGTCACGTCGGCCGCTCACCACAATGAAGCAGCCGAGCGCTGTCAAGGTGTCAATCAATAAAGTGACCTTTTTTTTTTTTTTTACCTCAAGTGGGGTTCGCTCCTCCTGATTTTTAACATCTTAAGATCTTTTGAAGCATTGACAAGGTTGTATGCATTCAGGCGATGGGATGGTGTCCTTGGAAGAGAAATGTGATGGCAACGGGTGGAGGGTGGGAAGACGGAAAGCTTCGAATTTGGGACACCGAGTTGGCCCGTTGTGTCGGTTCTGCTGACACCAACTCACAGGTGCATTGACACTCTGAGCATCACTGAAGCGCTGACACTATGACGTTACGCACCGTTGACTCTTGGAACAACTCTGATTGCAGATCTGCTCACTTAACTGGGTGGAGGCCACCAGAATCCTGGTGACCGGGCATGGGCGCCCCCATAACAGCGCCATTTGTTGGGATTGGAATTTCCCCTCACTCAGGCCTCTTTTGCACCTTTCAGGTAAAAGAACAATTCATTCAGCAGTCTATTTTCCCTGGGGTTCGATTGAACCACTTTTTACACCAAATAATACTCAAAAAGTATATATGATACAAGGGCGGTGTATGAATCCGTGGTCACTTGACTAGAGATGCGAGTATGCCATTTAAAATGAACACCAAATGAGAATTTTCGAATTCGAGTCAGAATGGGTCAAAACGTCGGCGCGTCACAGGGGAATGTTGAATGGTCACACGTGCGTTTGGATATTCGTGACATAGTGTATGTAGGAGTGTCACGTGCGTCGTGAGAAAAGCACGCTATTTTCGAGTGGGACACCCGGAATCGTTTGTGCTGTTTATGAAAAATTATGCTGGCTAATGAACATTAAATTCAATTGTTAAGCAGTTAGTCAATAAAGCCCAGCTAGGAAGCATATCAATTATCTTTGTCTTTGTTTCTTCACTGCTGGCCTCTCACACCATCACAGCAGCATATGGAGAATCGATAGGTTAGCTTAGGGCTATGTAGCTGGTACATCACAATACAGATTAAAGCAAGAAAAAAAACACCATGGATTGTATCCTTGGCCAGGGTACGATGAGGCATTGTGGAAGATGAATCAAGCTATTTTCAACTATAAAGGACAACCTTTTCCATAGGTTAACGCTGCTGGGTCAACACACTTCTGTTCACTCTGGTTCAGTAAATGAATATGTATTAAATAAGTGAGTAAGTGAAGCTTTACAAAGCGCTTTGGGCACAATATTGTCGATAAAGTGCTATAGAATTTTGCAATCATTTTGCATACCACAAGAGGGTGCCAGCATACTGCTAGTGGCTAACGGTGAGTCATTATTTTAAAAATCTGCTCCAAATGATCTTATCACTACGTCTCGTTCGCCATCTTATCAAGGTTCTGTAAATAGTGACGCTTGTTATGAGGTCACATTTTTCAACATTTGGAATCCAGACCTCTACCATGTAGCTTTCCGACAAGGTATTTTAATTATGACATATTTAAAATGCTCGCCAGTCGGAGCTCTCAAAGTTTCCCTTGAATGTCGCCATGATCTTGCCAAAGAATGGGAAGGTGACGCCGTAGGTGGACTTGGCGAACGCTTCAATGTAACTGCTGGTTCCGGGCTCTGTGTCACCAAACTGTCCGCAGGGAAAGGCCAGGACGTTGAAGTGAGACGTTCCCAACTCTCTGTGGAGTTCCTGGAGCGACCCGTAAGCTGCCTCAGTCTGTTCGCTGTGGCTCGCCACGTTGACAACAAGGGAAGCCTGTGTGGAGCGCGAGACGTTACAGAGCATTCCCCAAAAAGACACACTGAACGCGACTTGCTACAAACTTGAGTATAAAGTTCAGACAGAGTGTAATTTTGCGGTCGAGTTCTCTTAAATCCAGCTGATGATGTGGGCTTACTTTTCCTCGGTACTTCTCCAGCGAGACCGTCTTCCCTTTCGCGTCTTTCACCTCAAAAGAGTAAAAGTCCACTGGTTTTTGGGGCTTCAGCAGCTGTGTCTGGAGCAGGAACAAACAGCCCACGCCGACAGTCATGCTCAACAGGACGGTCAACCTCTTCACTTTGGGCGCGGAGGACTTGACGGGGTAGCCCCCTAAGGCCTCCATCTTAGAGGGGGCATAAAGGAAACCCGACGGGCGGGGGCAAGATGATTATGAAGGGACGCGGGCAGAGTCAAGCTAGCCGGAAATACTGAAACAATTGATGCAATCTGCGCGCCCCCTTCAAAATAAAATCATTAGTCACTTTTACCTTTGATATTGACAAAGTCAAATGTTTTACGTTTACCCCATGTTTCAATTTGTTTTTTTTTCTGGTCTGAGGTTAATTGCGCCTCCTTGTATCTGGTGGAAAAAAATACTTGTTGTGTCTGTCACTCATCACTAGCAAATAAAGATAAACAAACATACATGAGTCATCGATCAATTTTTGCCTGGTCCTTTTCCTGTTCAGAGGAGCTCGAGCTTATCAGAGGTGATTTTGGGAGGAAAGTTTTGCCTTGACAAAAAAAAAAGATGCATGATTTTTTTGTTTTAAATAGCCAGGCAGGATTGTGTCAAATTATCCAATTTGACGTAATTGGTCCCAAAATATATATTTACTTCAAATAATATATCTTTGTTTTTGCACTCTTTGCAGGGTGAACCCGAGGCGCGTGTGACGTCGTACAAGCGCTTTCGAACGTGGCTCATCCGCAAGCGCAGTCGCGAGAGTCCCGCTGCGAGTACGCCCTTGGCCACTGGGCAGCGCTGTCGACCCACTTTTAAGTTAGATGGAGTCTGTCAGAGGCTGGAGCTGGATTCTCCCTCGAGGCATCAGGAAACGGCCCAAAGAGCACAAGGTAGTCTCATGAATGTAGATTTGGTGTGTTCTGGTTAAATAAAATAAATAAATTAATGAATTTTAGGGGTCCTGAGCACCAATGGTATTTAGGCATCCTTAAACATGTGAATCAAAAATGTCAAGTTTTATTTTGCCTACACCATTTTGTAATTTAAAATGGGTGAAGCATATGGGTATGGGAAATGCGATCGCCACATCCTTCAAAACACAACGCATGAATAAGTCCAATGGATCCAGGCCCAATGTTGAACAAGAAGTCTTCCATTTTAGTTTAAAGCAGCCATTTTCAGGCAAATTTCCTCATAGGAGTTGCTCTAATATTTGCATAGGATGGCTGCTTCAACTAAATGATCCTCAGGAGGAAGCCGGTCGGTATCCTAGACAGATGGGTGACAGGAAAATACTGTTTTGGGGCAAATTCCACAG